AAGGATTTAATTTCTTTTGTTTCCTTCTTCTGTTTTACTTTCGGCTCTAATAAATCCGCAAAGTCTTGCTTTCAAAGGAAATGCATAAAAAAAAGGAACGAATCGAAAAAACCAGTCTTTCCAGTTGTTGAAACTTACTTGCCTCTCAAGGGCCGCGATTCTCCTTTATTTTTTGTGTGCTTTACTTTGCCTTGCTTTTGGCTAACAACTAACGGCACTTGCGAAAGGGGCAGGAGATCTTGCATTTTGGCCAAGAGGCACCACACCCCCTCCCCCGCGGAGCGACCTTCCCCTGGCAGCTGCAGCCAGAAAGTGTTGCAAATGAGTAGAAACCGGTTTAAATGGGCTTTGGACAGGTTCGCGTTCTGTTTTGGACTCGGGCTTCGACTCTTTCGCCTTGTGTTTTGCCCTGAAGAAATGGGTCAATAAGAAATTCAAATGCTTAAAAAAACTTGTTGAATTTTTGCGGTTATCCGAAGGGGAGAACCATACCAAAACAGGGAATTGCAAGGCGAATGAACTCCGATTTGCGTTTGTTATTTCTTCTCTTTGCGTTTGGTTCAATGACTTCCAGTTTCTGTGCAAACCACAACAATTGATCGAACTTCTCCACAGGAAGAAGTTTGAAACCCTAATCATCATTATCGAAAAATCCAAAATAACATTTTAGTTTGGTAATCTTCATTTTCAGCTTAATAAACGTAGAAGTTAAAAGTACTCCTCTGCGAAAGGATTTCAAATTAAAATAATATTCTAAATTAAAGCAAAGGGAGAAAATACATACAAACATTTTGGTTTGTTTGTTTTTTCTATGCTGGTTGAGACAAAATTCAGCTTATCTTAGTTTCTTTTATTACTTTGGTTCTGTTTCCTAAATTATCATTAATTTGGTAATGTTTCACAACGTTGATTTCATTGTTTTAGCCGTGAAATCGGTAACTGCTAAAATGTCAGCCCCATAAAAGTGAAAAACGAAAAGACAATAGCTGACCACAAAATGATTTGATATCGCAACTAAGCACACATTATTATTAATATTTAATGCGATTTCCCCACCGTATTTTCTCCTGCATTTTTGTGTCCTTTTGTGGGGCCAAGTGATACGGATGGAAAAGGACGTTGATGGACCTGCGGAAAGCCGCTTAAAATGTTTTCCCGGTATACTCAGTGGACTTCTTTTTGCTGTTATTGTTTTTGTTGTTGGGTTGCTGCCATTGCGCTGATTTAATATTTAGCACGCCTGGACAATCACCCCCGACGAACACCCTGCCCCTCCGTTTTCACATCAACCCCTCTGGCATGACGCCTTAGTAAAATTTTAATGCGCTTTTGATGATGGCCATAAAACGGCAAAACAAAATGCATGGCAGTGGGCGGAGGCGTCGGCGGCGGTGGGGGCGTGGCCAGTGCAAGCGAATCTCTGCTCTAGATAAAATATTAATTTATTTTTCCCGCTTCTGCTGGCAGTCCTTTTTCCGCAGCGTCCTGTTCTTTTGGGGGCCCGCCAGTCGAACAAGTTATAGTGCGCATAAAATTTTACGTATGTATTGCCTGGCAAGTCGGGCTCTTATTTTTTTAAATAACTGTTTCATGCTCCGCCCCCGATGTCCAGCATTCGCGCTATATGTACATATATCCTTCGGCCGCCACATCGCCCCCCCTCATCCAGCCTCGCCCCTTGGTTTATTAATACTTTCATTTCGAGGCGGTTTATTTGTTTTTACTTTTTTTTTTGCCCCGCCTTCGTTGCTTGCATTTTTATTTCTCGCCTTCTTGCGGATTAGTTTTTTAATTTCAACAGCTCGTGAAATGTTGAACTTTTTTATTTGCTTGCCCTCGGTTTTTCAATTGCAAAAGTGAGTTCTAAAAAAAAAGTTTCTCGTTTTTCCTATTTTACGAAAATCTTTTGCCACAGCTGCAGATTAGAAAGATTTGATTGCAAAATTAAAATTTGAACTACTATTTGAGCATAAAAGCATACCAAAAGTGAATACATAAATATCATATTTATTAGTTTGCTGTTATTTTGTTTTCAAATGCCAAACTGTTTATTTTAGTTTTCAGGTTTAAGAGCTTAAGGTTATTGTCAAAATTATTTATTGAAGATTTTGGAAATAAGTTATTCTTTTAATATAAACAAAAATAGTTATGTGATTGTGTTTGAATACAAAATTCAGAAACAACGAGCTATTGTGGACTAATGTACTGATGTATTCGCTTATTTAAAAAGCTAAGGTAAATTCAGGCATGGAATTCTTTTTTATTTTTCATTAGAAATACTCAGATCGTGTTTGGTGTACAAACCATACATTCCGAAGATCCAAGCATAACTTACTTACACCGCTTTGTTTAATTTACCAATCGAGGACCCTCGAGAGTTGACACTTCCCCAGAACGTTGATGATTCCCCGAGGAGCAGCTCTAATCAGCTTCCATCATTCAGCTGCCCTCTGTCTCTGGAGCTCCATTGCCATTCACCTAATGGACTCAAATTACCGGCAAACAATGAGTGGGCAGCGCCTTGAATATCCTTTCCTTCTTTCATGGCCAATGGCCACCAACCCGTTGGAGCTTCCTCCAATGGAAAAGCGAGGGAAAAGTGCTGGAGCACGCGCCTCATTTATTCAATAAGCTGATCTCATAAACAGGAGTAATTTTTCCTGACCCTCCCACACTTTCTTCCTTTCTTCCGGTTTTCCTTCGAGGATGCGACGCTCTTGACTTGCTCGATGATTGCGCTATTTACAATAATTGCAGACATTTTGTGCGCCATCGAGCGACAGTCTCCCAGTTTCCTGGGCTCCTTTTTTCTACCCACCGACGTTCCTCCGTTGACTTTTCCATTTACGAAGCTTGTCCTGCTGCAGGACCTCTGGCAAATCGCATTAAATGCAGATCTCCCATTGCCAGCAACGAATTGTAAAATGTCATTCCAGATGACAATGAGGGGGCGGGGTGGAAAAAAAGAAACGTATTTTCACTGCTGTTCTCTCTCCCATTTTACATTTTCCACTTCCCACTCCATTTCCTTTTATCAGCTCACACTTTCCGTTCACTTCCTCTGCTTGGCACTTCTGTTTTCCTGTATTTCCATGGACAGAATGCGCAACTATAAAGCGCACTGAGCACACAAAAACTAATTAGAAAACTTTTGCGGTTGATAGTGACAGATGAGGGGCGGGGAAAGTGTTAAGTGTGTGCGAACTAGGGTGTAAGAGTAAACAAAAAAATATTGCTGGAGGAGAAGAAGGGGAAGAAGCTGGCAGCTGCATTAATAATTAAGTAATAGAAGGTACACAACCACTATCAGTTACATGATTTGTGAGGAAGTGTTGAGCAAAGGATGGATCTAGAATAACCTAATGGTCATTGGATAAACTGTTAAGTTTACATCTGAAAATAGTTTTCAATTTATAACTCGAATGCAAAAATTCCAAAAGGTTCATCGATATTTTTTGTAAATTAGAGCAATCCAAGACTTCATTTTTCTTGAGATACGAAAGGCCAAGCTTTGTTCTACGCAGCTCATTAATAAACCCATTATGGAAAATGGTCATGCTTTCGCAGCACTTAACAATCTTAACGATATATAGCTAAAAGTCATTCATCCCCAATTTCAAAGTTGCCCCAAACAATTTGCCACTGGGAATTTGCATAGACCCAAAAAAAATTCGATGGAATTTCGCCTAATCAAGTAGCTACCCTCTGCAGGCGCCATTTTTCTCCATCTCTCTCATGTCTAATGCAAATCAATGTTGAAAGTTTTCAACAAGATTCAAAATTTCATGAGCCAGAGGACTTATCGATGAATTTCATGAATAACAAAATATATATAGCTGCTCCCCAAAAAATAGGCGAAGACAAAAGCGGCTTTGCCACTTTTCCTCTTTCCCCATTTTGTCGCGGGTGCGGGAGTAACAACAAATTGAACATTTAACCCATTATGGCCTCTGAGCAACCCAAAGGCGCCCCCTTCTATCTTGCGAACACTTCGCTTGTAAAATGAATAAATAGAAGTCGTTTGCAGATTTAAAGTGGAGGGGCGGAGAGAGTTTTTGGGGCGTGGTAAGGCAAAATTTGTTGGCTTAAATTTTCCATAAATTTCCATGCCAACGGCCAATGCTCATTATAATTTGCCATCAATTTCCAGACGCTGCTACCGCGGTATTCTTATTTCATTCTTGTTGGCCTAGACTTGACACGCCCCGGCTTTTGCTGCTGGCAGGCTCACTTCAGCACACTCGAAACTCATTAACGTAATTTCCGAAAATTTATGAATGTTAATTGGGAAATTTCTTTGGCATAGTACAGCGGAAAGTGCTTATTAAATTATGCTAATGAGTTCTTGAGCTTCACACAGCTGACAAGGAACAAACTCCGAAGCAAATGCGAAATTCCAATAATGCCAGACAAACGCAAACACACAGCTAAATTTGGAGGTAAACGAAATGAAATAGTCCACAACGGTCACTTTGACAAGGAACAAACTCTGTTGGCCAACCAAATGTGAAATTGGAATAATGCCAGACAATTGCAAACACCCAACTAAAATTGGAGGTAAACGAAGTGAAATTGTCCACCATGGTCACTTTGAAACCGAAGAGTCAGCAAATGGATGGAAAATCATTTATTCCCAATTAGCCATTCACCTTGATTTGATCAATTTGGAAATAAAGGTTTATTTGCTAGCTTTTGACAAAACAAACCATACAAGCAGATAAATAGGTCTGAAAATGGTAACATTTCCCAATAATGTATATACATATATACAATCATAAAAAACCACAAAAACATTGATTATAAAACTTTTAAAAAGTAAAATTATAATGTAATTTTATGACTTTTTGTAGGTTCATTTTGCTATAATAAAAACAAAGTTTGGAAATTCAAAATAATAAATAATAATACCTTTAAAAAAAGGGACCATGTATTTTGTCATAAATATTCCATTATTTATTGCTTTCGTATCTAATTTCTTGCCCCATTTCACTTAATTTCAGGATGTCTTGCATAAGATCTGCCATCCACATGGCCAAGTAATGCGTATTGTCATCTTCAAGAAAAACGGAGTTCAGGCCATGGTGGAGTTTGATAATCTGGATGCTTCTACCAGGGCTCGCGAGAATCTAAATGGCGCCGACATCTACGCCGGTTGCTGCACATTGAAAATTGATTATGCCAAGGTAAGATCGATCGGTTGATCGTCGATAATTGAGCCAATTACGAAGGCAGTGACAATTATTTAATTGCAGCCAGAGAAGTTGAATGTTTACAAGAATGAGCCCGACACCAGCTGGGACTATACCCTCAGCACAGGTGAGATTCTACAAAGTGCGTTCAAATTTTTTACTACCTTTTTCTAAACTAGTTGATAAGAAATGCACCGATACAACAAAACTCGAGCACCTACACCCACACCCACACCCTCGCCCAACCACACAGTCACCAACATAGACATTATATATCTATCATAGACACGCGCATTGACACCAACAACATATACAACCACACACACAAGAACACACCCAGCTACACCAAGAAAACACGGAGAGTTAATTGCTTTTTGTGTCCAAAAAGTTGGTAAATCCTGGAGCATGTCGACATGCGCCTTTTTAGAGCTCTTTGGCTTTGTAACCCTTTGCTAAATGTATATTTTAGTTAGCGTTGTGAGGCGGCTGTACGTGGCGTATGCGTGATTCCTAGGCTGTGCATCTTCCTTAGTTGTTTTCCTAGCGGTCTCCTAGTCTAAGAGAACACCCCCCTTTTTCCCCCTATTAACCAACTTTTCTGATCTCGTAAAACATACTCACACAACCACGGCCAGAACTCATTAAATCAAGCATTTAACGACACTCTTGAGATGCTCAAAGAAACATTAAGGCCCACACACCGACAGTCAGCTGAAATATAGCCACCTGTTTGTGCCACGCCCATTCCAAACCATCGCCCCCCTGCCATGCTCACTGCACCATTTTGCGCATTTCATGTGTCCCAGTGCTTATGACGGCCGACAAAGTTGCGCATTAAATGCCATTTTTAATTTGTGTATTTCACTTTGAATAAAAATGAAATTAAATGCTTTGCCCGGCTGTTTCGCGGCAGACAACCAGGCGACACTGTCAACATTTTGTCGCTGTCGTCGTTGTCGTTGTTGTTGCCGCTGTCTGTGCCGCCTGGGCAATTTGTTGCTGGAGAAGAAGAGGTCGACAGACGAGGGGACACATCAAAAGGCCGACAAACTGAGCCACCAGTGGATCCTGTCCAGGCCAACGCACTATTAACGCTGCCAAGTGTCAACGTTGCCACAACAGCAATAGCAACCAAAGTTGCAACAACAGCAACAGCAGTGCTGCAGCAGCAACATCAGACACAAAGCCACAATAACTCAGACAGCCAGTTGGGGCAGAGTTTCCACGTTTTTTTTTTTTATTTTCTTGCTGCCCTGGACACAGACACAAACATTGGCTGATCCTCGGCAGCATTCATCCGCCCTGTTGTATTGCCATTTCCATTTGGAGGCCAAAAGTCTGCCACATCCCAGCCGCATCCTCCACTGCCCCGCATTCCCAGTGTTTGTTTTTTCCCCACAGAGCCGAGTTGCAACCATTTGCTGCCCGGCTGCCATCAATGAATGGGAAAACTGAATGAACTTGGCGCCGCCTCCATGAAATGCAGGAACTCGTGGGCGGAGATGTGTAGCTACAGCCTCATTGTCAGCACATTACGGGGGCGTGGGCGGTGCTGCCAGTTTGCAAATTAGGCCCGGCACTATCTTTGTGTCCAACATAATGAACATGCAACTGTGCCAACGATTCCAGTCGAAAAGGAGCGAGTCGAAGGTGGCCCTTTCATCTCCTTTGTAAATGATGATGCTCTTGATAGGATTGCGCTAGGAAAAGCCCAGGAATTTGTTCAAAGAATTGCCTTTTTAGATGCTTTCCTAAGTATATGTTTTTCTGTGAACTGATCCTATGAATTACGTGATTCGTTTTAGATCTTATTTAAGGGTTTTATCCTATTAAGAATATATATTGAAGTAGAACCAAAGATAGTAATTTTTGGTATACAAATAGTAGGATCATATTTAATGAAGTTCCTCGTCAGCTAAATACAAAAAAAGGGCGTTCTTGACATTTATTAGACCTTCATCGAGGGCGATTTGCTCGAGTTAACAATAGAGCTACCTTAACATTCAGAACCCCTAATCGCCTTGATAGATATGCAATATTTAAATGACCACTTGTGTCAAGCACTGACCAATAGTTTTCACCCACTTGCTTGGAGAAGCGGACAACTGACATGAAAGGACTCTCGACCTGCTGCCAAGTAAAATCAATAGAATTCATTAAAATCGTAGCAAGTAACAATCCACGTCCACAATTTACTTTCCACGTCAATTTCGACCCGACTTCTTTATTGTCTTAACAACAATAACAAGCGGGAAAGTACAACGACGTAGCGAAGGAAAACAAAAAGTGAAGTGAGGCAAGTTAAATATAAAGTGGAAAATGCAAACATAATATTTGCATAAGATTTTGCGCTCAACCCCAACGCTTTTTCCAGTCTTCAACTATCCTTTCCTGTGTCCGTGGCTTTCCCTCACCTTTTCCGGACGAAAGGAGTCTTCGAGGCAATCGATACAAATGCCAGCACGTGAACGAGAACGAGGACACCGCCTTGGGTAAACAAGAGTCTCCAAAAAAGCATTCGAAATGAGTGGATGGCTGGTTGGTTGGCTGGCTTGCTGGTCGTCTAAAGTAGCAAAGAAGTTTTTAACAAGTTGACTTGAGTGCTCACCCACCCATTTCGCCAGCCAACGTCCCCATCATTTTAGCTGTCGAGAAAGCTTTGACTTGGCTCCTGCTGCAGCTGAAACTTCATCAAGTACACACCGAAAATTTGTATTTGCATTTGCATTTGACAACCGCCACGGTTGTGCATATTTTCCAGAGCAAATTTCCATCCCCCTGCACTTTATCTATGCGCGTTTTGTTAATTTTCTACTCATTTCGCTGTCATCCGGCGTGGCTGCGTCTTCCGTCTTTCGTCCTGGGGTTATCCTTTCGCCTCCGGCAGTTCAGATGGATCCTGGCTGCTCATCAGTAGTCGCCTGTATTTGCCTTCGTGTTGTCACGCGATGTTCTCTTTCTTGTTCTTTATTTGGCCGCAAATTGTTTTTGCTTTCTGGCTGGTTTAGCGCACTTTTGGCTCAAGGACGTTCGATTTTTCTTTTTTTACTTACCCTACGACGACTGCAACTTGACAAACCTACGTGCATTTTCAAGCGATTACTCCACGGCCTGATGCAAAGTGACAGTTTCGTTTTGCCGGATAGTTTGTCGCCGAGTTAATTTGGTTTTGTGGCTGAGGAATTGCTGCCTGCTGAAATTGATTAGAGACACTTTTGTCTGCTTCCTTGAAATTGTGCACAAAATTGGAGTTTTTATGGGGCGTAAGTTCTCTAGAAAAATGGGCGACCCCTTCCGCTAATAGAATCCAGTTTCGGGCCTTGATTGCGTATCCTGATAACCACAAAGAACCTGGCCATAATTAACCACAGAAAAGTCAGTAGGCAGCCCATGAAAAAGTTTTCCCCCGGGGCTTTCCCTCCTCCCAAAAATAAAAAGAAAAACCTGCACCGTAATGGCAGTCATTATTTATTTTATTTCCGAATGCACGGAAACAGCAGCAAAATAACAATCATAGAAAGTGGAACAGGGATAAGTCAGGGAACTCTGCTACCTTGGTTGGTAGCTACAAAAAAATTTCAATAAAAGGCGGGACACAAATAAAACCAGACAAAGAAAAGGGGAAGGGAAAGGCCAAATGTCATAAAAAGAAAGCCACAACAAGGGACACACCAGCGGTTGATGAGGAGCCGCACTGGAGGGCATTAAAAAGGACCTCTCTCTCTTCTCTCCCTTCAAGAAGTTGAATAATAAAACATGACAAAACTATTTTATGTTTATGATTAAATTATGTTGGGGGCCCCAGCCAGGCAGGTGACACCTCTTCCCCCGCCACCGCTTCCTTTCTCTTGTGATTCTGCCACAACAATCGAATTAAATGCGCATAAATTATTCATACACACTCGCACTAACACGCATGCAAATCACGTTGGCAACCCGGTTTCCCAGTGATTTCAATTATGGCTAGATAGATATTCGAAGGCTCGTTCTTATTTATTTAAATTGCTATCGAAGAACACTCGGTTTTGTTGCTTACTTTATCCTAAATCAACATGGCCCCCCCTCAATCGCCTCATCCCTCGTTTGCTGCCGCTGCCTTTGGGTTATTTATTTTTATGACACTACAATTTCTGCAAGTGTCTGTTTGCGAGTCCTTCGGCCTGACTGCCTGCTGATTATTTTCGTTTTATCTAGAGCCCCGTGCTATTTTGGACCCCCAATTTGTTTTTAGTGCCCTCCATATGCTGCCTGCAAATGTGCTTGCGATATAGTATTCAGATATGTGTGTCGTATGTGTTTCAGTGGGTGGTTGGGCGTTTTGGTAGCTGCTTGTCATTCGCTCCGCCCATCTAATACATCGTAATTATAACGGTTTACTTCTCCAGCATGGTTTATTTTATGCCAAACCGAGCGAAGACTTCATGTAATCAGTGTGAATAATTTGGCCTTTGTGCCCCCAATCTGATATGGACTTTTATTTGCAGGAACCCTTCCTGGCCCACAAGTTCCCCCACATTTATGTGTGGTATTATATCTTGTCTGCGCAATTGCGTGGACCTCACTCATTTAGAACCAATTAAAATGGCTTTTATTGCTGCCCACATAATGGAAACGACCAACTTTTTGCCTAAACCACCCATTTATAGTGTCCATTGCCCAATGGGATGAATGGTCTTTGGGTGCTTTTGGTTGAGTCTCTATTTTGACTGCTGTGGCTAATTATAAGAAAATATTTTTAATGCAATCGCTCGTTTTTAAACTGATCAATTTTTTCCCGATCTTTTGAGTTCTCGCCCCACACTAACCTAAGACATTATAACAGCACGGTCTCATCCATATATATCACATACTCTACTAGCATACGAATATACACGGCTCGTTGGCGGTCTAGACATATATACTACATATATAATATCTCTTAGCTTAAGCGTAGCTTAGCGTAACATACGAATACAACTACCTGAACAACATATCTTTGACAACCCAAGGGGAAGTATTAAAATCTATAAAATAGGCTCTTGCGAGCTCTTTAGCTTTTCTTGTATGTTTTTTTTTATGATATAAAATGTAATGTGCCAGTGAATAAAAGTGAAATCCAAAAAGCAAGATTTAGTTCTCAGTTCAGATCAGATCAATTTTATCCTGTCGACACCAATCGCAACCATTTATCAAGATACCAGCAGCAACAACCACACCAGCAATAAGAATGCAACACTACAACAAAAACAACAACAACAACACATCAATGCGTCTTACTAAAACTAAATCAAGAAAACAGCCAATGAAACAATTAACCCAACAAGAACCGTTTATTGCTAAAACTACTAAAATCAACTATGAACCACACTTGTAAATTATGTCAACGAATCCCACCCAACAAAAAAAAAAAAACAACAAACCCACAAAACATTGTGTATTATAAGACAACAAATCACCACACAACTACAACAACAGCCACATCAAGCAAGAAAAAAGAACAAAAGAGAGTTTTGATCCCGAGTTTTCTCGAATATCTATTGTAACAAGTAAACGAAGTAAGCATAATCAAAATAATGCAAAATAAATACAAGACAATATGAAACTACAAACATCGATATGCAAAGACTAAATCAACAAAACGCAAACATAATTAACCATAAACAACAAGCTTCTCTCTTGCACTCTGTACCGAAGAATCAAAGATATTGAGCGGAAGAAATGGAAAACTTGGTCGGAGAAGAATCAACTAACTCACCACTAACAGCAAACAATGACTAATATTAATTTTTGATTTTGTCTGCATTTTTTTTTTGAACCATTTTTAATGATTTGTTTTTATTTCACAACAGTTTTGATTAACAATAACAACCACCATCTCACCACCACACGGATAAAGCTTAGAATCGTATGAGTAGCATACCTAGAAACCACTGCGTCGGTCCCAACTACTACTATTATTACCATCTACTACTTCCGCCCACCAGCCACCCACCTGCCTGCCTTGCCTGCCAAGCTATCCAAACTAATCTAACTAGCTAACCCCCAGCTAAGTAACCAGAGGTTAATGCCAGAATCAATCGAAAGACAAAAAGAGCCCGATTCTCTTTTTGTCTTTCGATAACTCCTTGCAACCTTACTAACCCAATTTTTGTTGTGTATGTGTGCGTCTCTGTGTGCGTAAATAAGTGCCAGATCAGAAACGAATCTATATAGATAAATATATATATTCTACCCCAAGTAAAAACAACCAGAACATCTACAGAAAAACAACCTACTACTACTTTATATAACTATAACTACAACAACAACAGCTACAACAACAACAGAATGCAACCAACAAAAAAATATCTAAAATCTAAGCAAGAATGCACCAAATTCAAGAAAAGTTCAAATTATTTTGAAATACCATTCAATTTTATGCAATCTATACAACCAGATCAAATAAAAATAAAACTAAAATTCAAAAACCACGAAAAAGCAAAAAAAAAAAAGAAATATATATAAAAATAAAGTATAGATATATGTATTTAAAAATAACTCTTTGGGCAGGACCAAGCATCACAACAAAAACGAAACTTGCAGAAACAAACTAAAAATTTTGCAAGAATTCTCACTGTCTCTCTCTCACTATCAAAAATCAAAATAAATCACAATCAACACTATCTACTATCTATCTCTATCTCGCTTGTGTTTGTCTGTGTGCAGGAGAGATGCAAGGCACTGTTGTTGTTGCACTTGATGATGCAGCCAAGGAGCGAGCGGAAAAGTGGGAAAATTCGGCGGAAAAGCGGATACAACGGATAAGGAGGCGGCAAGAAATGGAAATGGAGCAACGCTGCGCCGCCACGAAAATGGAGCCCAGAAGCTCCAGAGTTGAGATACCTCCATCAAAGATACTACCGGCACTACTATTACTGCTAATGCTACTAGTACAACAACTGCCATTACAACCCCAGCAATTAGTAGTCGTTATAAAGCAAAGTCGTACTTGAACAGATCCTTGAAATGTTGTTTGAGTGCCGCCCTGAATGGCGGCCCAAGTTGCAAAAGTTTTTGAATTTTGTTGCATAAAACTGAAACCGATATCGGAATACCCGGAGATATACATTTGAGCGAGTATGTTGCCAATTGTGGTTGTTGCTGTGCCTGATGTGTTGACCGAAGATAATCCGACGAATCGCGATAAAACCCGAGAAAAAGGTCCTGAATGCGAACCAAATATAGAACTGCTTGTTGGATCTCATGTATAATATATACATATACTTTTTGTTCTATTTATCATACCATGAACCACAGCTTTCAATTCGAATTTGAAGTTTATTTAATTTAAAATTTTATTGACGGAACCTAAACAAAAAAAAAAAAAGAATTCAAGTATTATAACAAAAAAAAAACCGACTAGGTAAACATTTACCATTGGGATCTGTTCAAAGCTATGTCAGCCGTAGAATATACCATATTCGTATTATTATCGCCACTGATTTCGGGGCATGTAGAGAGAGTTGTATGTACGCTGGTGGTATTAGTCGGTCGATATCGCTATCGCGTTCGGTATCGGTACTATCGTATCTCATGTATGTAGTTCCCTCCGCCGGGCACCGAAACCCCGTTTTTTTTGGGCCCGGCCGGTGTCAGAGGTGGTATGGAGATGAAAGGCATCGACTACACAGCGACTGTGCCGGAGGTGAGTCAGTTGAAGCACTCTAATCTAACTCTATGTCTAACTACAAATCATTTCATAGTTTTTAAGTGCAATGACAGATCTAGCCCCCAAACAATTGTTAAATGTCCCAGCCCAGCACGACTTAAGAAACTTTCAGCTAGGTTTATAACCCTACGTTATTTACGGTCGAAATTATGTCTAATTCATAAGAACTACACCCTAGAAACAAATGTAACTCTTAAGAACAGAAAACTGGCAATTAATTAAATCGAATACTTTTGTGTTAGATAGATGGATTTTGGGCATACAAATAAACTGGTCGAGAACATTTTTCTAGCATCAACTTGATTTCATTTTCCAAGGCCGTAAAAAAAACTTCTCCACCCTGCAAATCGATGTAAATCATTAGTCCATTTAACCATAAAAAGTCAATAAAACAAACGCAAAATGCTGTACATAAAAATTAATTGCATTGCGCTGGTTAAACATTTTGGCGAAATAGTGGGGCAAACGAAAACAAATAAATAAATTAAACAGGTTCTGAACAACTCGTTGGACCATTAGAGGTGGTGTATGCAGTTATTGGGGTCACCATTGTGCTATTGCTGCTTTTTGGCCAGGCCGGGCACTAGAAGTTGGCCCTGAAACTTGTCCGGAGAGCGTGTGAACAACCAAATTCGCTGTATAATGCTGTTCGAGTGGCTATTTGATGGATTTTCTAGAATGCGTTCTTCATCCTATGTTTAATATCCAATTTCCGATAATCTTGCTTAGAAAGCGCTTGATTTATGGGTCTGTCGCCTTTTATCTTGGTCTGTGACGTATGGCTCATCGATGACCATTTCATTTCGCTAAAATTGTTTGGGGTTGTCATAAATTAATCCACTTTAAATGTATTTATTATATAAGCTCGCTGCTGGCGTGAGTTTTTTTGAATTTTATTTCTTTGTTTTATTCGTGATAGCTTGTTTGACTGACCTGCCCCAACGTTGCTCTCTTTGGAATTGCTTTTTTTTGCGCTCTACTATATTATATAAATACTGATTCATTGGCATGCAAGGCAATGAATAACGCGGTAGCAGCTGAATAACCCCAAAACATAGCGTGAAAGTTATTTATGAACATTCTGATGACTCTTCTGGGTTTTCTCTGCTCTGTGCCGTGATGTTAAGAACCGAGTGAAAGAAACTATGGCAATGAGAGCTGCGCTCTTGTGGCTCCCATATGGTCTAGTGGCTAGGATATCTGGCTTTCACCCAGAAGGCCCGGGTTCGATTCCCGGTATGGGAAAACTTTTTGCAACCTTTTTTTCTGGTTTGTTTTATTTTTTCTTTTGCATTTCTTAGAGAGGTTAACCGGATATCAAACACACTCACGCACATGCGTGTTTTTTTTTCTAGTTAGCTTTTAGTAGAATTCCAAAAGAAAAAAAATGGAAATAAATGGCAATACAGAAAATGAAGAAGCTACGCCACAGATACACACATCACAACAACAACAAATGCCAAACAACCAACCAATCAACAACATCAACAAAAAGCAACCAAAACCAAACCAAACAGAAATTCAACAAATTTGTGGAAACATTTATCACGCGCAAACTGTTTGCCATTTGCTCTTATCTCATTTCAGTTAAGGAGATTGGAAATGGCCGCTCGCCATTACTACAGGAGCCTCTATACGGTACACGACCTCAGCCCTACAGTGAGTAGAAGGCGCCTATTCACTTGTAGTTTCTGTTTAGCTGACGAATGTTGTTCCCCCTGTTGTGACCCCCGAACAAAAAAATATCATCCCACCACTGTCAACCCTCTTATTAATTTTCGTTCCTTAATGTCAAACAAAAACAAGAAAGAAAGCTAGCTTCGGACGGAGCCGAAGTTGATATACCCTTGCAGAATATTCTGTAAATTATATTCTTCAAAATTATTCATATGGTGTATTCTTAATACTCATAAAAAGTCCCAACTTCCTAACTTTAAAAACACCAAAGTTATGGCATTTCCAATCGTTCAGTTATATGGCAGCTATAGGATATTGTCGGGCGATCCTTATGAAATTTGGTAGGTCGGATTGATTGGCCAAAAATAAAACCCATAAAAAGTCCCAACTTCCTAACTTTAAAAACACCAAAGTTATGGCATTTCCGATCGTTCAGTTATATGGCAGCTATATGATATAGTGGCCCGATCCGGCCCGTTCCGACTTATATACTACCTGCAATAGAAAGACAACTTTTGGGAAAGTTTCAAGCAGATAGCTTTAAAACTGAGGGACTAGTTTGCGTAGAAACGGACGGACGGACAGACGGACAGACGGACAGACGGACGGACAGACGGACAGACGGACGGACAGACGGACATGGCTAGATCGACTCTCCTGGTGACGCTGATCAAGAATATATATACTTTATAGGGTCGGAAATGTCTCCTTCACTGCGTTGCAAACTTTTGACTGAAATTATAATACCCTCTGCAAGGGTATAAAAACAAACTATATGGTGCGTGTGATTGTTGATTGTTTGGTTGTGTTGAAATATATGCATTTTTTATTGTTTTTCCTTATACATGTTGGCCACTTATGTTGGGATCTTATGGCAGCTTAGTTTCTTCACTCAGGTAAAACCCAATTAACAGAGACACACTAACACACTCATACACACCTGGTTGGAAATTTTTCTAATTGCAGGCTTCTAATGCAATCATAACCATTTTCCAGGCGACATATGCGCAATTAAATGCAAAATTAAGAACCAAAGCGAAGAGTGTAATCCTAATTAACTCGGTTATGAGAGCGACAAACACTCGACCCAATTTCGTTCGCTTGAGAATTCTATTAAGACAAATGGGCGAGGAAAACTTTTGAGTCAACAAATAATCGAATGCCAGACTTGTTTGGGCCCTAAAACGTGACTCGATGGTCCTAAGCGGAAGTCAGCATCCTGGGGAAAAAATTGTGTCACCAACACACACAGAACTGCAAAAGGAAATGAAAGCTGTACAAAGTGGAAGCTTGTGGGTGGTGGTGGCGGTTCAATATTATTGTACGAACATGTGTCTTCATTTCGTTGTCGACTTTGTGGCCTGCCAAGACCATCAACACTTGCTTCTACTTCTCCACTTCCCCCAAATCGATTTGGCTGCCAGCGTTCTTTGCTCGTGTGCGTGCGAAGTGCAAAATTAATTGATTTTTTATAGCATTTTCGAGCATTCCCCTAGCATTTCTATTTCAATTGCGAGTATCGAAGTGTGAAATTTCGACCGAAAGCCAAGAGAATTGGGTCGGAGAGTTGCTTTTGCTTGGCAAAATAATGATAAATGTGGCCTGGCCGCAAATCAAGGGGAAAGGATTCCAAACGGCGAAACTAATCCCTTAATTAAGGCTCTTCAGCCTGAATAGCAGTCGTTGGCTTAATTTGAACGCATACTTTGTTGCTTATCGATCGTTTGGAAAGTTTTTCAGCACAGAGAGTGGCTAAAGGAAACTCGACGCCTCAGGGCCGCACCTAGTTACAACTTTTGCATTATCTAAAAGCCGCAAACTATAAACTAAAAATCCCTGCCACAGCCGCCTCATCTCCCCTGCTGCTGGTTATCAAAACTTATGTAACCTGCCCTGCGGATATGCCGGCTCGTTTATAATTTTTGCCAGACAAAATCTACAACCAGCCTAGCTTGGATGTTCTAATTTGTTGTGCGTAAATAACATTTCGAATTGGCCTGCCTCTGCATTAGGCCGAACTCAAAGTTTCCAACGCAAACAACAATTGCTGCTGGAACTTGGCCCTGCTGCTAAGATGTTTCCCTTCGTTTCGAGAGAGTGTGGCATGGTTTTGGGATTTGGGGACAAACTGATGCAGAAGATTAAGTAAAAATCCGTCTCTAACTGATGCTTGGCTGCTGCTTTTAATTGCATTTTACGCAAAAAGTTTAAGTTCTCGTCGTTGCCTAGGTTTCAATTAGAGGCTTGGGGGTTTGCTGTGGCTCCATTCCTATCTCAAAGTGCTTATGCCCCACAGCCCATCCATCCCAAACCCCTATATGCGAAGTTTCTTTATAGCAAATACTGTGGGGAGTTGAGAAAACTTTTGGCCACTGCTGCTCCTCTTTGTTGTGTTTCCTTGGGAGTTATTCCGTTGATTTTCGATAGTAAGCGGTAGCCTTTGACCCACACACCCTCAATTTTCACAAAACTGGAAAACTTTTGCAAGCAAATTTTCTTATCCATGCTATTTGTTTGATAATTGGCCATGGCCACGGCATTTGGCATTGTGTACTCATCCCCCCTCGGCCCCCCTTGTCTTGTTGGGATAAAGTTTTAGTTTGCTTCCAGGCAAAAAGTCGAAATTCAATTGATTTGAAAGGGCGCGCAGCAAGGGAGAGTTCAAAGTGTAATGGATTCATTCGGAGTTTGTTGTGCAATGTTTTTTATTTTATTTATTTTTCTGTTTGCTTTCTCCCCTCACATTTCTTTTTGGTTGGTTGCATGTTTACTCGTGGTTTTTGGCATGCTCGGGGCTAAATATATGTGGTTAAGAGCCGAGCTAAATATGTTCCGTGTTGGCAAATATTTCCCCATGATTGGACCATTTGTTGCCTTTTGCTATTAGATGATTTGTTCTTTGCTGAGTTAATTTACGAGTTCAAAGGTGGAGCTGGCAAATAAACCTGTTTCATACTAGTAATATTATACAAGGCTATTATTATTGTTATATAAGGTATTTATTGAAGGAAGGTATATTGAAAAGAGCCTATTAAAAATAAATATTAATTGACTAAGTGTTTTATCGCCCGTTTTTTAGCTCTAGAGAACGGAATGAAAATGTGTTGCTTTTGACATATATTTATCTGTTCGAGTTTCCCTCTTTATTTTGAATCCCCCAGCTCACCTCATCTTTTCCGCCGACCTGCCAGATGAGTTTATGCATAGTTGATCAGTTTTCCGTTCGTTGTTTTCCCTTTGTCAATTTCCCTTTGGATTATGTATGTGTGTGAGTCCATTTAGCTGACTTTCCCTTCCCTGGCCTAATCAGAAAATAACAGCAACCCCAGTTGCTCAGTTGCACTTATGACAACGCCGAGTAAGAATTCCGACATTCAAAGGCGGACGAGCGGGATGTGAAGGGAATTCTTTGGGGCTTTCCCAGTAGCCGGCTTTCTTTGGCAGCCTAATAAGCATCCTTGGGGAAATTATGATGAGCAGAATTCAATTTCGTGTTTAATTTGCAGTGAATCCGTTTCTTTCACTTACTCGGACTCGGAATTGGACTCACTTTTAGTGGTGATTTACCAGGCACAACAGAAGTAATAAAATGTAAGGCTGGGAAATAAAGGAAACAATATTCGCTGGCCCGAAATCTTTAAGGCAACTTTGCAGGGCTTTGTTTAGGCCGGGCCAAGTTTTTATTTTCCTCGAACAATTTTTGTTAAGTTTCCCCCGACCCACTACCAGTATGCAAATTGGTTGCTGCCTTTGTTTTCGCTCTACCCCCTGTTATATAATACAAATAAATTTCTATGTATTATCTTTCTCGGTTGCATTCGCAGCTCTTTGGCCTTTTCTCCATTCCGCCATCCACATTTTATTTTTTAACCACAATGAGCGCTTTTCATTATTTGCTGTGAAACAACATTTTCCCTTTTCTGTTCGTTATTTTATTTTTATTTTATGCTGCCACTTGTGTTGTTCTTGCTGCTGCATAAATAAGTATTTTTAATTTTACCACAAAGTTTTTCGGGTTCTTCATTTTCGGAAGGCAAATGAAATGCTAAAATGATTTTTATTAAAAAGTTTACTTTTTAATCTGATGTGCTCGTCGCGTTTTTTCTCCTCCTCGCTTTCCTTCTATTTATTTAATTTTGTGTCTGCACTTCTCTTTTGTATAATTTTTCCCTGCGGTTTGTTCGTCACATGGCAGTTGGCAGTGAGGTTAATTAAAATTAACATTTTTGTTGTTTGGCCCTAAAGTTAAAGCGCATTAAGGAAGCCAACTCTGCAGTATGCATTAACTGAAAAGTTGCCAAAGCCGTTTTGTTAATTAGCCTGCCACAGTCCAGAGAAGCCCCAAAAAGTATGCTAAGCAAGAGAAATGATCCCCGGGACTTATCCCAGTGCAATTTCAATTGCAATTCATTATGATTAACATATTTATGGGCTCGGCGTGGCCTTTGTCATTCATGTGCGTGGGGACGTGAATCACTGATTCTGGGCAATCGTTCACACCTCTAAGCCTGCAGGTCCCAGGAGCGGTCCTCAGTCAGTCAGAGCTGATCCCCTGGGTGGCGTGTGAAATGCGTGAAAGCCGTCGGCCCCAAGGAGACTCAACTGGGCCGCAAATCCATTCGCCACGACGACGACAACAACAACGAACACCCGCCTGTAAAAACAAAATGGCCAACATCCCGGCCGGAAGTTGTGCGTTGCCTCGAGCGGTTGGCTGGAACAACTGTAAATGGGAGCGTGACTACAGCAGCTTGGTCCGCCATTGCGGCTCGCTTTACTGCTGTTTCCGGCGTGGTAGGAAGTGTTTTTAATTTTAATGCAAGTGCTCTTCAGAGTAGTCTTTGTATATGGGCTTACAGATAACAAAAAAGTTATAAAAATAACTTAAGAAACTTTGCCTTAATTATATTTTAAAAAGTGGTGCTATTTTATAGGTAATTGCTTTTAAATAACTTCACTTTTTATCACTGCCAGTAAGATTG